CCCCAAAACCCCAAAACCCCAAAACCCCGTAAATCAATATCTATATTTAACATTAGATAAATTAATGATAAATTATACATCGATTAATCAAATTATCAGCGTAATCAAATTCTATTGTCATTATTGTGACTGTTGTTTATTCTACTCTTTTGTTGGAAAACTTGCTTTCCCATGTTGTTATCTATTCCAAGAGGCATGTTCATCTATATTCCAGCTTCAATATCATCTTTGTCATGTCGACTTGAGTCTAATTGAGAGTCCAACTAATCTTCATCATCATCTCCTGATTCATTGCCAGGACTCTGCGCTAAAGGTTGCTAGGATTGCAAAGGTCTTTCAGCATTGATCTACTATTTTGAACCTGAGTTATTTATCAATTGTTTTTGCATGTTAGCATTATTAATTTGCTCCTAAATTTAAAGCTGCTACATCTATTACTATTACTAAAGTCTGTTGAATCTTTGCTTGAGTTATTGTGGCAAGAAGAAAAGATTTTGTTTTTCTTCTAGTAGATTCTCAAGCATCTGAATCTCCTCGGAAAATTCTTAAGGCTTGATAAAAGTAATTCTCTTTAGCTTATGATTGTTAAATTTGTCTAGTTCGTCTTTGTTTTAAGGTCCTTCTAAAATTAATCTCAGAGCGTTAATTATTTCCTAAAGCTAGTTTCTCTTTAAAATACTATCAATGATTAGTTCTTCAATGTTAAACGCTCCTTCTTTGATAAATTTATAGAAAAACTCAGATTCCTTTAATTTTTTAGCATTTCCTAAGATTTCAAGTCTCTTAAAAGTTCCCTTCATAGTAATCAGAGTTTAAATAATAATATTGCTTAACTGATTAAGTTCTGCATCAGTTAAAACCTAAGGAATAGAAAAGGAAATGTTTTAAAGAGAGTCATTTTGTTCAAAGATTTGAAAGAAATTCTTGATTCCGGCCATCTAATAATCATTGAATGAGATTGAAAGAGTGTCCAAACAACCATTACTTATAAAAGCCTCAGATAATTTTATGAGACCGTCATCGTCAATCACATTATTTGAAATGTCTAGTTTTTCTAAGGCAATATTACAACTTAATCCATCTTTTATTTAGCCAACATTTTAGATTTGATTTTGAGACAGATCGAGTATTCTGAGAGATTTATTGATCTTTAGTCCATAACTTACTTGCTTTAACTCATTATCACTTAGCTATGTCTTAGCCAACTTCAACTTTTCAATAGTTTTATTCATTTTGATAAACTTTCCCAACTGCAATATACCCTATAGGTCATTTTAGCTAAGATTCATCGACAAAATGGTTTAATTTGTGCTTAGTCTTTCAAATATGCTGTCTAGTGATATATGAGTAAGTCCGCACTGCTTCAAATTTATCTTCTAAATGCTTATAAGTTGAGAAATGCATTCAGACAGCATAAGAATAGTTTAATCTGTGATATTTGAGTAACTTAAGCGTAAATCTTTTAAGTTCTCTAACTGAAAAAAGCAGGTTTTGAATTCAATCTCAAATACCCCGTAAAATGAGCAGGATTTTAGGTAAACGGACTCGAGATTCTTGCATTCAGTGATGGACTTGAAAAATAGTGGTGAATTCTTGATATAATTATTGTTAAAAACGAGTTCTTTCAAGTTAAGCATATTTTAAAGTGAGGAGAAAATTAGTTATTGAGCTCTTTGTGACAGCCAGTTAGACGAGAGATTAATGGAGTTTACAGAATTTCCAAGGTAATACCAGTTTTAAATTGAACTCAGTGATAGCTTTTCTTTTTCAGGAAGGTTCTTCAATAAATTTGAATTGTAGTGAATTGCTAAAAGAATAAGTTTTTGCTCATCATCATAAAACTTTAATCCTTTGACTAATAGATTTTTGTTCTGGTTTTATATTCCATTTTAAGCTTTCTCTTTTTGCATATTAGCTCTCATCGATCTAAAAAATCTCATGCTTAAATCTAAACTTCTTAAAGTCTATACAACATCAATTCTGAATAAAGACAATAAAACCCTATCTATTCCCTCATTGATTGAGAGTTTTACCATATATCCCTCCTCAAGTCTTGCGCCATTTCCTTATAATTTCTTAGCAACAAAGTACCTTATGAAGTTTAATTGTAATACCTTGAAGAAATCAAATGCCAGTCCTAGACTATATTACTAAGTTACAGGATCACCTCTATTCTTTCTCAAATTTACATGAACAACTGAACTTTACTAAATTGCTTTTAGTAAGGCCAACGCTCCTTATTCACTAATATTATTGTGCTCTAGATTAAGAGCTAATAAGGATTCTTAATTTTTTTCTAGGATATAATTTGCTATAAGTTTTGCTCCAGAGTCTCCAATACGATTTTCAGATAAATTAAGCTTGAGGAGGCATTTAGGATAGTAGAAATAAGAAAGATGTAGAGATTTTAATTTGCATCGAGAGAGTGTTAGATCTTCCAGGGATTCTGATGAATTAACTATAATCTCTTGCAGGTAGTTGATAGTTTCTTCGCTCATTTAGTTGGTTGAGAAATTGAAGGATTATACATCATATTCATGATAGCTCAAAAAGTCATTTAGGGCTTTCATTTTTACAGCCTGAATATCATTTTGATCTTCAATGTAAAATTCAGCTATAACTCTAGCTTAGTTTCCATCATAGTAATCTCTGAGTCTATCCAGCTCTTTCTTGTAAATTTTTGAACCACCTCCTTCCTTATTTTTAGATGAGCAAAGATTGCTGACTGAGTATAATATGCAGACTGAATTGAAGTACAAGCTTATTATAATTATTGAGTTCAGACCAGCTGAGCATGACTCTTGAGATAGATATAATGCTTGCATTGCAGCTAAAGGGGCATCTTCGAATAAAGATTTGAAGTAGGAGTATTTCTATTTATGGTATATGAAGAGCTGGGACTCACCACTTTAATCGTTATCAGGATCATAAAGCTTTGCTATTGTATCCTAATCAAGCCACAATAAAAGCTTTGTTAGAGTTTTCTGATTGAGTATTGTTTGAGAAACATTTTTTTTCATTAATGTGGTATTTTCATTTTCATTCTTTGGTTTCTCCTCTTTCCCAAGTTTTACAAGTACAAATATCAGAAAGTACATTACCAAAATAATTTTGAAAAGAATGGTAACTCCAATAGCTGCTGCTGAAACTCCATATATCAGTCCAGGAATTTTATCTGCTTGATTAAGCACAAGTGAAAAGAAGCATAGATTAGTATAGGTATCAATAATTTTCATATGTGATAAAATTTCTCGGCAGCAACGACCCTGAGATCGCATTAGACTTGAAGTCACTTCATTATTTTAGCCATTTTTGCCATTTTTCCTTCTGTGATAAAAAGTCGAGACTCCAAATAGGCAAATTTATAGGATCAGGAAAATAACATGAGAGAAAAAGTAAGGAGACGTTCTGCAATCTTAATAAAGAAACAGTGGAGGAATGGTTATGCATAAAAGAAATCCGAATTTGTACATTATGATTGGTGCTAATTCTTTCTTAGTCATTTGAAGTTTCTTTGAGATATACTCATCCTCTGATCCATCAGTCTTCTGAGTAGTATTCACTCGCTCTTCATCAACACTCAATGGATGCTAGCTGGCCACATGTGAATACATGCTTTAATTGTCACCATCAAAACTATCATCTATATCTTCATCTTCATCGTACTCATCTTAAGGCAAAATGTTATTTCTTGAATGATCCTCAATGTAATCATCATTCTAGTTGTTTCTACTCTAATACCTTGTATTATCCAAGTCACTGTTACGATTGATGTTACTATTATTACTATTATGTTTGCCTTTCACATTATTATTTGCATCTTCATCCTGTGTTTCATCTAGGAATCGCTTGTTCATTTCTATAGTTGTATTCGGATTATTTTAGCTTTTATTTTATGAAGTTGCCATTGAGCTTTTGATTCCTCCAATAGCAGTCATTTAATCCATTAACAAGGTCTTTTCTTTATCATCAGGGGAATTTTACTATGCATAAAAAATTAAGCAATTACTATTTATCCAGAAATTAATGTATTTTACATGAAATAATTATATATCTGCTTGATTAACTTACTTCACTAGGCTTTTTAGTATCTGCCTATTTAGGGGAGCTTAAACTTTTACCATTATCAGATTGATCCTTCATACGATCGTTATTCGGCGATTAATTTGAAAGCTAATCATTAGGCCCGCTTGGTGTAGAATTATTATTCATATTTCGATCTTTTCAAAATATAAAATTAAATTTATAAATATTAAAAATGAAAAGATCTAAGCGAGGAGATAAAAAGCAATCAAGGAACTAAGATTAGAATTCTGTTTAAATTGATACTTCAACAAGCAATGCTAGTAATGCTGAAGCAGTTACCTAATAGTCTGATAAATTTAGTATGGAAAAGTTCTTTAAAGCCCCTGATGAATTTTCAACTGAAGATTATGTAAGAATTGGCATTCTTTATAGTATATTTTTATAGTTAGGCACAATCGCGAATCCATACCATTTCAGATCATGGTGGAATTCAATACAAGCTTTATCGAAAGACAATTATTCATAAAGAGCTTAGTTCTATCAGAGAGCACTTCAATACTTGCCAGGGTCATATAAGCTATGGTATAGTTTCATTAAGGAATCAAGGAGATTTGTTAAGCAGTAGCAATTTAGTGTAATCAATGATCCTGAGCACTATGATATCGTTAATGAAATTTTTGAGAGGGCTTTAGTATATATGACAAAGATGCCTAAAATTTGGCTTGACTTTGCCAAATTTATGTCTAAACAACTGAGAGTCACAGATACGAGAAAGATTTACGATAGGGCTTTAGTAGCTTTACCAGTTACTCAGCATTAATTGATATGGGATCAATACATTATTTGGGCTTCATCATTAGAGGATTACACTGAGACTGCTTGTAATATATACAGAAGATATATAGATTTCAAGCCAGAAGATACAGAGTATTACGTAGATTATCTCTTGAAAAATGAAAACCTTGAGGAGGCATTAGATCTTTATTTGAAAATTCTTGAAGATGATGGTTTTGTGTCTGCAAAGGGAAAGACTAGGTATCAACTTTGGATGGAGCTCTGCGAATTTATTGCTAAAAATCCATAAAGATGCAATTTCCAACAGCCTGAAGCTATAATCAGACATGGAATTAGGAAATACACAGACGAAGTAGGTAAATTATGGATCTATCTGGCTGAATACTATATCAGACTTGGGTTGTTTGGTAGAGCTAGAGATGTATTTGAAGAGGCATTGGCTACAATCACTACTGCTAGAGATTTTGGAATCATATTTAATTCCTACATGAAGTTCGAAGAGTAGATGGTAGAGGAAGAAGACCAGGACGAGGATGAAGATGATGACGAGAATGATGTTGAGGACTAAATAGATATGCTCATTAATTTAGCTTTCAAGGATGTACCAGAGAGATAGCATGACTTAGAGAGTGATTAAGAGACCGATAAAGTAAAGTTAACTCATGAGGACAAAATGAATGCTAAGTTTTTTAGATTGGAAAATCTGATTCAGAGAAGACCATTCCTAATGAGCAACACAGTTCTCAGACAAAATCCTCATAATGTTTATGAATGGCTAAATAGAATTCAACTCTGCCAAGATGATCCCTATCTTGCTATTAAGACTTACACAGAAGCAATAACAACTGTAGACCCTGCACAGGCATTTGGAAAACCAAGTAAAATCTGGATAAGCTTTGCTCATTTTTATGAGTAAAATGATGATGATCTTGAGAATGCTAACCTAATACTACATAAAGCATCCTAACTAAATTATAAAAGCTACGATGAATTAGCAAATATTTACTGCTGCTGGGCAGAGATGTAACTAAGGCACAAGAATTATGAGTCTGCACTTTTGGTTATGCAGTAAGCTTGTACAGCAAATAGACCTCACAAAGGCAGAAAGGAAGAAAAAGATGATGGTCATCAGAAAACTAATAGCCTGTACAATAACTTGAAATGCTGGTCATTCTATGTTGATCTGCTTGAAAGTATCAGTACTGTAGAGAATACAAAATCAGCCTACGAAAGAATGATGCAGTTAAAAATAGCAACTCCTCAAACTATCCTAAACTATGCTAGATTTTTACAATAAAACAATTACTTTGAGGAAAGCTATAGAGTTTATGAGAGAGCCATAGGATTATTTGACTGGCCTCACTTGTATGAAATTTGGGGATGCTATCTATCCTCAATAATTGAAAGATACTCAGATGCCAAAGTTGAGCGTATTAGAGATTTATTTGAGCAAGTATTAAAGACAGCCCCTTCCAAGCAAGCTAAATTGTTCTATTATATGTATGCTGATTTTGAAGAACACTTTGGACTCATTAATCATGCAATGAAAATTTATGATAGAGCTTGCAAAGACCTTGATAAAGAGGAAAAATTCGAAGTTTATAACATGCAAATCGCCAAGGCAGCAGAGTTCTACGGCATTTAGAAAACCAGATAATTATTTGAAAGAGCCTTTGAGCTTCTTTAGGGAGAGGAACTTATTTAAGTAGGATTAAGATTTGCAAAGATGGAAAGAAAATTAGGAGAAATCAATAGAGCTAGGGCTATATATCAGCATCTTAGTTAGTATTGTAATCCGAGAATAAAAATCAATGAAGATCAATTTTGGAATATATGGGAAAAGTTTGAGGTATATCACGGTAACGAGGATACATATTCAGATTACATGAGAGCAAAGAGAACAGTCGAGTTAAGGTATTCTGTCATCAATCCAATAGCATCACTTAACATGGAATCGTCTAAACTGGCTTAGATAGAAATGGAAAATGACTTAAAAGAAATATCATGAAGAATTAAAGATGAAATTAATTAGTAATTTAAAATAAAGTTTATTATTAAATTAAGTCTAATTAAATTGGTAGCTTAATGCATGATTATAACTAAGTGAAAATTAAACAACATGATATCAGAAAATACTTGTCAAGTCTCATCAGTTCATAAATTGAAAATAGTCTACAATGAATTGCCAACTCTTCAAACCTACTGCTGCTATATTATATCAATTTAGTTGTCAAGCGACTGAGATTACTGCTAGTTTTGATCTTTGATTTATTTTCTAGTCTTTGTGAGATATTTCCTTGGAGCTTGATAGTAAATTCTCTCATTGAGGTTGGTCCCTAAGTTTTTATCAATTTCCACTGCCTAATAGTGGCCTATCTCATTCTTTATAGTGTTTTCTATTCTCTTTTAGGCAATGATCTGCTTTTAATCTTCCTTCTCCTCTTCAAGTATCTGCACTCTCTTCCTCTTTTGGAGAACTGCTGGTTGTAGGAAAGACTACTGCATTTACAAATTCTTCATCTACATGATCCTTTTCTGCTCAATGGTATTTCTATCTAATTCAATCATTTCCTAGCCAACATAGATAGGAATTTTATTCTTTCTCTTGTGAATTTACTTGGCGATCGTTACCTCAGTTGACATAAAGTTAATGTTAGTCATCTCCTAAGTGTTACCCATCCCCAATTACTCTCCCTATGATTGATTGTGAAATAAGTCTGACTCCTCCTTGCAGTTTTCATCGTCCTATGCTTGCTTGCCTCCCTTTCTTCTTCCTCTTTTCTTCTTTTGTTTTTCATCTAGCAATAGCTCTTCGTTCATTTAATCTATCAAGTTGTCAATTTCATTGTATAGGGGCTAATTCCTAATACACATAAGATGTGACTCAGATTTCAAGTGTTCTTTATAGCCATCATTAATTTAGTCCTCGCAGACAAAACATCTATTTGGATTTGCTGGAATAGGAGTCTTGATGTCATAGAGGTCTAATTTTTTCTTTTTAAGTCTCTCCACATGCTTTATGTAGCACTGTTCCTTTTGGATGCGATCTTTTTCAACATGTCTAAATTCTTCAGGATCAAGAAACACTGAGGAGCCTAATGGTGCTCTGTGCTGATAAGTTGGCAATAACTGGATTATTTTAACTTATTAAGGCAATATCCCTTGAGCCAACAACTAAGTCTGATTTACTATCTTACTTTCAAATATGTGCGAGCCTTGATAGAGATGCGGCTTGTGAACGTGATTCTCTGGCTTATACTTAGAAGTGAAGCAAAATACATGTGGTATTTGAGATTGCGATACTGGCAATTTCTTCTTCATATGGAATTCTGCTGTGAAATAATAATACTTCTAGATGCATTTAAACATTAGTTCAATATCTGATATAAAGACTTCAGTATTAGTTATGATAAGGTTCAATAATTCAATGTCTCTCTTAACTTCATCAGGTTCTTATTTGAAAGCATTTTACATACATTCCTGAAGTGAATTATAATTTTATCTATTGCTAAGACTATTAGGTCCTTTCAATCTCTCATCTAAACTCATATTCTTCATAAATGACTGCTCAATAGTTGCTTGCTTTTGCTTGTTTGCATCAAACAGCTGTATTTCGACTTGAGGAAAATCAGCAACTGATTGAGATCTGTCAGCATGATTAAAGCCTTTTTCAATGTTGAGCAAGGAATTTACAGTTGTTCTTTACCCAAGTAGCTGCATTTGCCTCTAATTTCTTGGCAGAATTTTTGTAAGGTTTTGAGAGTTTTAGATCTAAGTTAAATCTTGGTGTTTCTTTGGTCTTTAGTTAAGTTGAATTTAACGATTTTCATAGTTTTCCGAGTGGTTTAGTCTCCATCTAAGAAAGTGGTCGATGATCTATTCAATTTTCTGCTATTCCACAATGACAATATTTAGTTCGTCATTGATCGAAAATTTGACTCTGCCTCCAACTTTATTTATCCAGGAGGCCAAGTTCTTGTTCTCTCTCTGCTGTACAGACTGCATGTTATTCTTGCGGAGGGAGACCACAGTTCCCCACCCAGTGTGCTAGCCATCGTACTGCTAATGTGGATAGACCAATAAGTCCTTCAAATCAAATCTCTTCAACATCTCCAGATTGGTCTAATTTTGTCGTTCAGAGACTAGTTACAGTAGATCACTCTTTTGCAGAGTAAGTAAGTCATCGTGAAATTTGAAACTCATCTTAAGTTTTAATGGGTTGACCATGTTGAAGTTAAGCTTCTACTAGTGGAGGAGCTGAGGCTCAGATTAGAAAAATAATGCACTCATTAGAAAGTTGTTATTAATTAAAATTAAATTAATTTGTATTCTTGCTTGTTTGGATGTTTGAATGATTTATATAACTTACATTTACATTTGAATTTAAATATTTATTCGTTTAGTTCTAGATGAGATCAGTCATGGGGTTTTGGGGTTTTGGGG